GTGTGTGTGTGTGTGTGTGTGTGTGTGTGTGTGTGTGTGTGTGTAGAAGTTCTAGGCTAGCCAGAGATGCATAATGAGACTGTCACAAAGAAATTTCAGAAGCAGCAGAAATTAAATACAGGCCCTCCATAGTCTACAGACATTGGCTTCCTCAGGTCAAACTTAAAACAAAACAAAAACAATAACAAAAAAAAAAAAAAAAAAAAAAAAAAAACAATGTAACTTGTTATTTGTTAGATTGGCTAGTTTGGAACTCACTCTGTAGACCAGGCTGGCTTGGAACTCACAGAGGTCCGCCTGCCTCAGCCTCCAGAGCTTAATCCCTGGCTTAATTTCTTTAAGAACTTAAAAGCCCCAGTTGAAAATGTTGGTAGAGAACTGTAAATCACAAGAAGGGATGTAGTAGATTTGATAAAGTATCAAAAGTGAAATTATAAGATGGAAATAAGATAACAAATGAGCAAATTTGATGAAGTGCCTGCCAGGCAGACGGTGACCGGGAAGGCAGGGCGGAGTGAGAGGAACTGATGCGCGACAAGGGAAGTGCAAGGACAGCGGAGAGACTGAGAACATCCCACCAACAGGCCCAGCAGATGTGGGCCTGCAGTACCGAGAAAATTCCAGGAGCTGAGAGGACACTGAGCTGTAACTGAGGGACCCTTCACAAAGCAGCGTGCACACTAAGAACAACTCCTGGCCACTTGTAGTGATGGAAGATGGGTCCGAAAGCAGCTGCAGCTGTACAGGCAGGTTCTTTGAGGAAACAGCAAAGCAGGGGTTTGGAGTAACACTCGAGGTGCTGAAAATTAATGCCCTGAGTGAATCTTACACTCATTAAAAAACTATTTTATCAATAAAGGTGAAATAAGTATTTATAATACCTCCCCAGTCCTTACATTTTTTTTTTTTTTTACTAAGAGAATTAGCAGAAGATGTATACTAAATTAAATTCTAAAGGATAGTATTTAAGAAGGAAAATACTATAAAGAAGTTTAGAAACTCAGGACAGAATGAAGAACATTGCATAAACTATGTGTGCATGATTTCTGTTGGACTGAATAAATCATATGCTAATAGTAGTGGAATATAAAAACAATACTGTGGTAAATAGATTTAAAAATGTATGCAGGACTATCAATTCTGATCACACATAACAAACCAGTGTTCTTCTGAGCTATAGCTCCAGCCTTCAGCATTCTACTTCAGTAAGCAATAGATTCATAGTGCAGTTTCTAGGTTCAGCTGGAAGAAAATAGTTTGTTATATAACTTTTCCCCCTCAATGTTGTAAGTCATTTTTTTGTTTACTGACTCTTTAAAATTATTATTTATTACAATTTATTCACTTTGTATCCCGGCTCCTCCTTCGTCTCCTCCCAAAACCACCCTTTCTCTCTCTTCTCCCATAGCCCTCTCCAAGTCTACTGATAGAGGAGGTCATCCTCCCCTTCTATCTGACCCTAGCCTATCAGGTCTCATCAGGACTCACTGCATCATCTTCCTCTGTGGCCTGGCAAGGCTGTGCCCCCCAGGGGGAGGTGATCAAAGAGCCTGCCACTGAGAACTTTAAAGTTATAGGAAAAATGAAATGAAAATAAACAAAACAGAAGAGAATGTACATCTAACCATAGTTTAAGAAAACAGGTGTATTGATAAAGTGCAAGGGCAAAGGGTTGTAGAGTAACAAAAGCACCTCTGGCTTATGGTCACTGTTGCTGTGATGAAACACCATGACCAAAAAAATATGAGGAGCAAAGGGTTTACTCAGCTTATGCTCCACATCACTGTTCATCACTGCAGGAAGTCAGGGCAGTAACTCAGACAGGGAGGGACCAGGAGGCAGGAGCTGATGCAGAGGCCATGGAGGGGTGCTGCTTACTGGCCTGCTCCTCATGGCTTGTTGAGCTTGCTTTTTTTTATAGCACCCAGAACCACCAGCCTAGGGATGGTACCACCCAGAGTGTGGTAAATCACTAATTTACAGAATGTCTTACAAGCTGATTTTATAGGGACATTTTATAGAGGCTCCCTCCTCTCTCATGACTCCAGCTTGTGTCAAGGTGACATAAAACTAGCCAGTACAATCACTTAGCCTTGACTGATTCTAAACTTCATAGGGAAATAGTTCAAGGCTTAAAGAATAGGAAGAGGGGCTTGCTCTATATATGTCAAGATTTACTGTAAAGCTACAGTAATTAAAATGATTAATTCAAAGATAGATACACATTGAACAGAATAGAAAATACTGAATTTAGCCACACATCTATGGATAGTTGATTTTTATTGGAGGTGATATTATAGAATGACTTTGTTTCCTTGTTTGCTTACTTGTTTCTTTGTTTGAGACAAGGTCTCACTCAGTGTATAGTCCTTGCTTTCTTGGAACTCATTACATAGTCCAGGCTGGCCTTGAACTCACTAAGATCCATCAGCTCTGGGATTAAAGGTATGTGCCACCATACCTGACTAATCACAGCATTTTAAATAAATGCTTTGTGGACACCCACTTTTGAAAAAAATAAACCCGCATGGAATTTTTCTTGTGGATCCAAAATACCTGTTTTTGTGGCTTTATATTTCACTGAGATATACAAGGCCAGGGAGGCTGAGGCTCTGCAGTGGAGCACTTTCCCAGTATTGTGAAGTCCTGGGCTGATGCTCTAGCATCACTAGCACAGCAACAAACAGGCAAATAAGAGCAAGGTGGTGATGAGCACCTGTCATTCCAGCACTCAGGACTGTGGCAAGAAAACCAGAGGTTGAGGCCAGCCAAGGCTAATCTGAGTTTCATAGAGAGCCCCTGTCTCAACAAACAAACAGCAAAATTTTTTTAAAAAATGAAATGTAAAACAATGAAAATTGTAGTGTTTATAGTGTAGAATTACCTTGATAACCTTGCAATGGAAAAAAAAACCTTTAAACAGGATGCAAAAAATACTAGACACCTAGAAAATTATTAATAAATTAAAAGCAAAAGCTGGGACTAGAGAGATAGCTCAGTGACCAAAAGCAATTGCAGCTTTTTCACCCATGTGGCTGCTGCCAACTCTGGCTCCAGGGGCCTTATCTGAAGCTCTCTCTGGCCTCTGAAGGCACTACATGCATGTGGTAAAGCTAGGAGGTAAAACACTCAAGACACATAAAGTACAAATTCTTTTTAAAAATAAAATAAAGGTAAGAACTTTTGTTTATTCAAAAACTCGGTTGAGCATATAAAAAAGCCAGCTTCCCAGGACAGGATATTTGCAGGACAACCAATAAATTGCCCATTGGCAAAAAACCTGAATTACCGCCAATTACGATGACGGAGTATGAGTAGGCACACCACAAAGTGAAATTCCTAACGGCTAACAAAAACATGAAAAGATATTCAATCACCTTAGAAAACATGAAAATGGCAATTAAAATCATAATGGGTTAATACTTCATACTTACCAGATTGGCCAGAATTAAAGATGAGTTAGCCAGGACATGAAATAATAAGACTGTTCACACAAGAAGTAAAATTTTGTAGTTCCCATTCTAACAGACAGTGCTAACCTGTTATTGAAGTTGAACATACCCATGCTCTGGAGCATTCTAATATCCCAGGAACATGCCTGAACATGTGCATCTGTACACCAAAGATAGATACAGATATACATACAAGAGCCTTATATGCAATAGCAAAAGTTAGAAACAACCCAAATAATTATTGCTGTTCAGGTGGTAAATTATGGCATAGCGGACCAGGCATGGTACCACATACCTTTAATCCCGGCACTTGGGAAGCAGAGGCAGGCGCTATGTAAAGAAACTGTCTCAAAACATAGTGCTGCAGTAGAACAGTATGTGAAAATAAAATGGGCCACAGTGAAATTTGAGTGAGTCTTATAAGCATAATGTGAATGAAATAAGCCTGACCTCCCCCACTCCCAATGATTAACTGTCTAACTATATGAAACTCAAAACCTGAAAACTGGGTCAGTGAGATGATTCAGTGTGTTAAGGTACCTGCTGCCAGGCCTGAGGCCTTAGTTCAATGCCCAGGACCCATAAGGTGGAAGAAAAGAAAAGAAACAACTCCTGTTAACTTGTCTTCTGACCTCCACTCCCTGAGTGTGCATACAAAGAGAGGATAAATAAATGTAACTTAAAAAACATTAAAAACTGAAGTGCATATTGATATATTCATACATGATAAAACTGAAAAGAAGAGGAGGAAAATTATCCTAGTGAAAAGCAAAAGAGTGATGCCCTTTAGAAGAAGAGGCTGCAGATGTCAGAAGTACTGTGGGTTTGGGGTATGGGTATTGCCCTGGGTGACTGGTTTTATAGGCGTGTGCTTTTTAACAAATCATGTAAGTAGCTAATTTGCTTTGTATAAACACAGAAAACTCATTATGCTTCTTAGTAAAAAGGTAAAAGTTACATGCCTACAAATGGAGTCAAGAGAACTTTTGTAAACAAATTAATGAGAGGAGAACAGTGGGGAGGGCAGCGGTTTAAAAGACACATAACAACACATGTACAAAAATGCCAGGATAAGACCTGCTCCTTTGTAGGAATGTAAAAAATTAATATAAAGAAAAAACCCCCAAAGATCTTTTCCTGCTCTAAGAATGATATATCAAATGTGAAGGTCTGTTTAGGAATGGAACAAGATAGCACTGTTTGTTAAATGCATTAGTATATTCACTTAGTTGAGTTGGGAACACTAAAGTCCTATTGAGTACTAGGGGATGCTGAATGTCATTACCCGGTTCTAGAACTGGGAATAGAGAAGTAGGCAGGGACACTGAACTCACCTAAGTAAAATAGATGAAAACCTTTGAAAAAGCTCTTAAAACCCTATTTGCCAAGGGATACCTATCTGTTCTCTAAGTCTGGAGGCTGATCTCTAAGACCAAAGGAGTTCTGGATCTGTACTGTAAATGACAAAGAACTCATTTCCCTATCAGAGGCCCAGCATGCAGTGCTCAGAGCCATCAGCTGCCTTTTCCCAGCTCTGGAGGCTTTTGATTCCCACCCTGTCTTAATCATGAGCAAGCACCAAAGATCATCAGACTCCAAGAGACAGAAGACACAAAACAAATTTGAAGTACTGAAGGCTTAAACCTATGAAAGGGAAAATGTCTCCTGAAAAATGAGATGTGCTAGCAAGTCAAACAGCAATGCAGTGTTCCTGTTGAGAGATCTGTAAACTGTTATTGTCCATTGTTTTTGTTCTTTGTGTTGTCCCACAAACAGTATCTTTGTGTTATTTTCATGCTGGGGGGGGGGGCGGTGGTCAGATTAGATAGATGGAAATTAATGTGAAAGGTTAAACCATTAAGAAATGGAAGAAAGGACAAAAAAGGAGTCTGTATTTGGCTTTCGCAGAGCAGGCAGTCTCAGAGCTGATCAGCTAACAGTCTGCTCCTCTCCTTGTATTTAACTTGGAATTTTTTTTTTCTCTCTTCCATGAAAACTCGCATTCTCCTCCATGTATCTGTCTTCATCTCCTTATTTCTTGGTGTCTCTTCTCCCTGAAGATCACAACATTTCAAGCGTTCCGAAAGGTACCCTACTGAAATGTGCTGTAAGCTAAACTCTCACTGTCTGCTTTGCCACCATTGATTGGTTAGTCGTTTTGAATTGGTAGCTGAGTGGTTTCTCGTGACTTTCCACCCTCCCTCTCGGTGGGAGTGGCTATTTTCTGTGGACCTGTTGTTTGATCCAGCAGAACTGAGAGGTGGGAGAAAGGAGGGAGAGCCTGTGTATCTTTGACTTTTGGATGTTGTTGCCTGGTATATGTCTGGATCTTGCCTTTCATGTTTGGGCTATTTCCTAAATCTTTAAGAAAAGGCCATAAAGTCTTCCATAAATTTTTCAGTGTTGCTTTTTAAAATACCTTGCCCATCCTTGTAATCTGTGTGACACAGTTGTTAGCAATATTCTGAAGAAACACGTAGCGACTGGTATGAGTACTGAAGATTGTAGAGTGAAAGTGGCTTTTCCTACATTCAGGACAGCTGCTCCCTTTGGCAGACCAGACCCTGCATCCAAAGGTGGCACATAGCATTCTCAAAAGAGATCTTGGCTTGTAGATTTGCCGTTGTGAGGTTTGTTTGTGCCTTTGTGTTTCATTCTTCACTGTGTTCAATATTTCAGAACTACAAAACTTCTTGCTACCCATACATGACTCAGTGTCTTTTCATGATCTTTTCATTCATTCTCTACTTCATTTCAATCCCCTGTTGTTTTCCTCTTGTTCCTTTAAACTTCCCGGGATTTTTAATTGTTTTTTTTTTTTTAATTAGACTTTGATTCTTTTTTTTAAGTTTCTCTTTAATTTAAATACGAGACATTCCATCTCCCATTTGAAAAAGGCTGTCTTATTAACCACATCCCTTTAACTCATGTGCTTTGTATTTTTCGAGTAGGCGCTCCATATCGAAAAGAAATCATCAAGAATAAAGTCAGAGCCATTGGGAAAATGTCACGGGTCTATTCAGTTCTTCGGTAAGGTTGTCACTACATTGTGGGATGAAGGCATTTAGAATGCATGTTAAAAGTTAGCTTTAGAGTAGTGTTTCTGGTGCTGGAACTGCAAGACTTCTGGTTAAGTGCAGGTTGAACCAGACTTCATGTAAAAGTAACAGTGTTTGTAAAACTTTCATTTGTTTGCATAGATATAGAGATTCAGTGTGGATTTTAGAGCCAGATTCCCCATGTTCAAATTCTGGCGTTCCTTAGCTGTGTTGTCTTGGGCTTAATCTCTAGGTCCTAGGTTTCCTTGTCTAGAAACTAGAGATTATAATAGGACCTAGCTCACATGTTGTCAGTTAAGTCAAGTGGGATAAAGTGGCTACCAGTGCCTGTGGTTGAAAAAGGACTGGCTAACTGTTTCTACCTGAAGTGTTGTAGAAAACCTGGGTCTGATGAAGGTGGGGGACCTGTCTTCATCTGTCTCTGCTTTTCCGTTGCTGTCCTTCAGGTGTGTCTCTTTGCTGTGCCATGGCTCCCTGGCATTAACCAGGGCTTCCATGTTCCTTTGCAGGGAAGAGAGTGAGAGAGTGCTGACCCTCAAGGGTCTTACTCCTACAGGCACACTCCCATTGGGGGTCCTCTCTGGAGGAAGGCATACCATTGAGAATGGTGAGTATGAAGATGCCCTTCCTAAAAATGGTGCACCCCCGTTACCAGCGGTCAGTGACTTTGTTTAGAACCTAGTGCTAGAGCAAAGGAGAGTTACCCAGGGAGACAGTAAGCATGACCCTTACTACCTCCTGTACACACAAAAAATAATTCAAAGTAGATTGTGATTTAAATGCAAAGGTTAGAAACAAATTCAGAAAAAGTGTGGAGAACAGACATTGGAGTAGGCAAAGTCTTTAATTAGAGATAGAAAATACTGATCGTAAAAGACAACAAAGGTTGCTAAAATTAAATAATCTGTGTGAAAATACACAATTAAGAGAAGTAAAAGGCAAGCCACAGAGAAGATTTCTGCACCACCTATATCTGACAAAGGCCTTGTTTCAGAATAGACAACAAATAATAAAAAAGAAAATATAATCCAATGATTTTATCTGTTTATTTCACCAAAGAGGATTTCAAGATGGACAGCAAGATGCCTAACATAGTTGCTCATCTGGAAGATGAATATTAAAGCATAGTGAGATTCTCCTGCATACCCACAAGAATGGTTGAAATTTTAAAATCTGATAAGATCAAATATTGGTATATCTATGGAGGACTGGATTAGATACAGGCTAGTGGGCTTATAAATAGACTCAACCACTTTGGCCAGTTGATAGGCAATAAAACTAAACACATTTGTACCCTGCAGTTCCATACCAAGACTAAGCAAAAGAAATTAGCATTCATGTCTGCCAGATGGTGTGCATGAGGGTATTTACTGTGGTTTTATCATAATAACCCCAAACCAGAAGCAGCTCCCCTGCCTGCCGATAATGAATAAGCTGTATTATATTGATATAGTGGGCTGTTGCTCACCCACTGGACCTGTTGCATTGGGGTCACAACACAGGCTCAGCTCCTGTCGGTGATATTCCTGGAGAGCTCTGCATGCTTTGGAAATAACATATACATAATCCTAAATTAGAACTCTGATTCAAACCAGGAATGAAGAGACATAAAATATATTGGGACCAAGTCCAAAAAGGTGTGAAGAAACATATATCTCAAGTCAACAAATCTATAAAACGTTCCTGCTGCCCTTGATTTGTAGATTTGCTTTTACAAGACCTAGCAAAAAAAAAAAAAAAATTTTTTTTTTTTTTTTAGATTAAAGCAACTTTGTGGATCAATAAATTTTCAAAAGTTTTCAAGTAAGGAACCTCTGTAGACATTACTCTTTTTTTCTTAGCCCATGTTACCTCATGTTACCCTGAAACACCCTCACCAGAACTGTTCACAGAAATTCTCACACCACTAACAAAATAAAGGTTGGTAAGTATTTTATATTAAAAAAAAAAAAAAAACCTGAACATTTCTTAGGTTGACTATACTTCAGTGATAGCAGTTATTAAACAAACAAATAGAGAGAGAGGACGTGAAGGTAGTAGGAGGCAGATATGGTCAGTTGTATATGCAGGACTAAAACTCCTACAACCACTGGATTGAGGGTGCATTGGATATACTTTATGGGCCTGCCAGATGACTCTGGGTAAAAAAAGATGCTTACTGCCAAACTTGACCTGCATTCAGTCCCTCATGGTGGAAGGAGAGAACTGATCCCTGCACTTTTAAACTTCCACATGTGTGCTGTGGCATGCTCCTTAATGTACATTATATGCACGTGCACACACACACACACACACACACACACACACACACACACACGTATGCACACAGAGGTATACAGTATAATGTAATGGAACATTTAAGGGACCGGAGAGGTGGCTTAGCAGTTAAAAACACTAGCTGCTCTTGCAGGGGACCCAGATTTGGTTCCCAGCACCTACATGGTGGCTCACAACCATCCATAACTTCAGTAACAGAGAATTTGACACCTTTTTTCTGATCTCCACAGGCTCCAGCCATGCAAATGGTACACATATGTACAAGTAGGAAAAAAAAAAAAAACAGTCATACACATAAAATAAAAATAAATCTAAAAAAAGAAATTAAGAGCCATAGGCAGTGATTACCAATATAGGTCTGAAAAAAAAAAAAGTCAGGCCTGGCTGTGGTGGTGCACACCGCCCAGTACTCTGGAGGCAGGGGCAGGCAGATCTCTGGATGCCTGGATGTGGTGACACACGTGTAATCTCAGCACTGGAGTGGCAGACATGGGAGGAGCAGGAAGGAGTTCAGAGTACAGCTACAAAGCAAGTTTCAAGGCTGGCCTGGCCTACATGAGACTCCGCCTCAAACTGTTTTTTCTTTTAAATATTACTAAGGGCTTAAGTGTCTATCATAGAGCTCTTGCCTCTGTGCCTGAAACCTTTTTTGATGAGACTGTAGAAAAATTGGGTCCTTTATATGCTGTTGAAATGCTACGGCTACTTTTGAGAAAACATTTCTGGCAGTTCTCCAAATGACTAAATAGAGTTGCCGTAGATTCAGCAGCGCCAGCCTACACCTTCCCCTCCCTGAGAGGAATAAACTGTGTCCTCACCAAAACTTGCACACCAGTGTTGATACATCACACATTCAATAAGAGCCTCAAATGGCATTCTTCAGAACACCCTGAAAGTGGATACAACTTCAGTGTCCATCCACTGGATAACAAAGTAAAGTTTATACAGTGGGATTGCACATAGCCACAACAAACACATGCACATGTGTCAGCGTGAGCAAACATGAAGCACATCATGCCAAGTGAAAGCTGTCACTAAAGACCTTTTACATGATTCCACTTATCACATGTACATATTTACAGGGACAAGGAGTAGATCAGTGGTTGACTAAGGCTAAAAGAAGACAGGAGGAAGGGAAATGGGAAGTGGGGCTAATGAGCTGATTTGGAGGATCATGGAGGGTGTAGTGTACAGCTATAAGTACATCAAAACCATTGGCTCTGCCAGACATGGTGGCAGAATCAGATCTCTGAATGCTCAAGGCTAGCCTACACTTTGGGGTAAGTTCCAGGACAGCCAAGGCTGCATAGTGAAAGCCTGTCTCAAAACAAGCAACAAAAATATTGACTTATATACTCTATGGCATAGGAACTATATGTCAGTAAACAGTTTTGTAATGTTTTTCTTTCTTTCTTTCTTTCTTTCTTTTTTTTTTTTTTTTTGCCATGACCCTTTCTTTGTACAGCTTGATAGGCTAATAGCCAATACAAAAAACAACCAAACAAACAAACTGTCCTATGAGGGCCCCAAAAATTCGATACTGGAGGACTGTACAGATGGCTCAACAGTTAAGGGCACCTGTTTTCCTTGCAGGGGACCTGGATTTGGTTCCCAACACCCACATGATGGTTTACAATTTAGTTAACTCTAGTTCCAGGGGATATGACACCCTCTACTGATCTCCCTATATGCAGGCAAAATACCCATATACATGAAATAAGTAAATCTAAAGAAAAAAAAAATTTTTTTTTTTTTAAAATGAGATGCTGGTACATACTTCACCACACAAATTCAAACTCTAAGGGGCTGGCATTGTCCATACAATTTTAGCTAAAGCTTTGGCTTCTACTTTCCTACAGCTGCATGGACCACACCCTGCTCTGTGAGAAGTCACTGTTACTGCCTTGTGTGGCTTCTCAGGCCCATCTGAGGTCACGGAGGATGTGGCAGTGCTTGAACTAACAGAAGCCTTCCTATGGGCTAGGGCAAATAGTGCTTGCTACCAGATGCCGCTCTCATGTTGCTGTAGGAGGTTAGGTAGCTTTGAAGCTCTCCCCCTTTTTGTAGTAATTGGTAAAGCCTCACAGTAGTCTTGCTGCTGAGTAGTCTTCCTCCCTTCCTTAGGAAAACTGGCATTGGAGGAGTTGACAGGATTCAAATGAATCCAGATACCTTTCTGGCTGTACCCTAGAACCTTTTCATGTATTACAGCTTTACTGCTTAACTAAGAATGGCAGGAAGAAGTTTCCCTGTTGGTACTCACTTTTAAATTGCTTCCATATCTGTCACTGAGAGGGAGAAGATTGCTTTCTTAATAATTGACCTGCTCTGCTGCACAACAACAGAAACCAAATGGGGTGTCAGTGTGAGCCTCTGCCATATCTCTCTCCTCAGATGGGTACATGAATTAGAGGTCACCCCTAGACCACCTCACTTATAACCTATTTCTCCCCTTCCAAATGTGAGAGCTATTCAAGCACTACTCTATTCTGTTGTTATTATCATCATTATGTGGTTCAGGACAGTTGGACCATGTGTCAGTCATCTGAGAACAGTAACAAGCAAGATTGAATAAGATGTTTAAATAGGACCCAGCAACAGCTCACTTGATACAATCTGAGCAGTTAAAAGCTCAAACATAGTTGTGATATTAAATTACCTGATTTGACAAGTCATTTTGATGTATGATCACAAGACATAAACTAGCAGTTGGCTATTTCAAATGAAGAGAGCAGCATTCCTATGCCAACAGAAATGTTAGAGACGTTAGAGTCTTCCCCCCCTTCAGGTGCAACCCCCCCTTCAGCCCCTTATGGTAACCCCCTAACTTCTCGAGGTTGTCTGATTATGGGCAGGTGGACCCCTGGGATATCTGTGCTGGTAGCATCGCTGTTGGTTCACTCATTCTTTCTTGGTCCTCCTTTTTCGCCTGCATTGCTCTGCCTTCTCACAGCCACACTACAAGCGGCAACGGCACAGGAAGGTATGGCCACATTACCCAGCTGGAATGCCCCTTTGTCAGTGCACCAGCCTCAGAGCTTCTTCAGCATGAATAAACTCACTTGCATCTGCAGAACTGTGACAGAAAAGAAGAGGGTGGCCCTCAGTGTGGCCGCATGTCACCCCGTTTCTCAGATGACCTTCATGCAGCCTTTGTCCTTTCTGAGTCTATCAGTTTTATGTAATGGCTGAAGCTTGTGCAGCTGGTAATGATTTAAGTGGTTCTTTTTTGTGTAGTAAGAAAGTCAGATAAGCATGCTTCCTTACCTAGAGACTCAAAAGGTTAGCAGGCGTGGGGGCAAAAGTAGTCTAGAGTTTAGATGCTTCATTTCTGAGGTTGCCCTAAGGCATTCCAGCTAAGGTTTTTATGGAGACACAAGTCACATGACTTACAAATTTTTAGATTAAAAAACCATTGGAATTCGTAAACCTGTACTGTAGATTTAGTAAATTCATTAGATAAGGTGATTCAAGGGGAAATTTTGTTTCCCGACAATGCAAAATTCAATCTGGCTGGAATCATAACTCAGTGGCAGAATGTTTGCCTAGGTTGTGTGGGTCAATCCCCAATACCACAAGAAAGAAATGTCAGAGTTGACTCGGACGGGAGGTATCTAGAAGCTGTGCTGATGGTTTTTAGCCACGTCCAGCTCCTGGCTGTGAATACAAAAAGCTGTCTTGGGCAGATAGCTCTCTTGTCACTTCTGTGTGGTTCGTGTGATGTTTGTGCTTAAGGCTCTGACCTGCGTGCTGTGGTGTGCTCTCCTGGCATTATCTTTTTCTAGAATCGAGCAGGTTTCTCATAAGAAACACTATTTCAGATGAGTAGAGGCTGATTAAGAGCTAATCTTTTTGTCAAGTTTACTTCTGCCAGAATTATTATCTTAGGACAGTTTCTCCCACACTCTGACCTGTTGGGAAGTGGTGTTTGTGGACAAGGCTGATTGCATCACATGTTGCCTATCAGCAGATACGTACGTGCTTTGTAGCCACCTTCCTGTGAGTCCAAGCACCACTGCTGTGTGCTTGGAAACTTGGTTTACGTGTTAACGCCCCACCTCCCTGAGCACTTCCTACCCTCTCTACTGTTTTTCTGCAGCCATGAAAGGACTTAAGGTCCGAACTTTTGAAGAAGCCCGAGGTCTAGACCGAATTAATGAGAAAATGCCACCCCGAAAAGAGGGTGTGTTTCCTGATGGGCCAGCGAAGACGGTACATTCACAAGCAGTGCGAAGGAGCGACCAAAGAAAGAAAGCCCTGTAATGACTCAGCGCTCTGGGCAGCACTATGGGCCCCAACCCTGCAAACAAATCATATTTATTTATTCTTGGAAACGAAACAGAAACAACGAGAACAGCTTAAACTTGGAAGTGCATTTGTAATTCAGTCGCATTTATTCTGTAAGAAAGATGACAATTTTATAAATTCTTCTAATTTATGTTCACTATATATAAAAAGTACTTCTGTTTTGTTCCCTGCCCCCTTGTCCTAATTTTAGAAATGGATCTGATTGTTGTCTGTGTGTGTGTGTGTTTAAGTGTGTAAGTCCTGTGCTATAGAGGGGACCTTCCCCTATAGGTTTCTGAGTCAGACCCCTAGTTATCCCTTCTCTTATTTTAGGAGGTGATTTCTTTCATTTAAGACTTGTAATTTTGCTAACTCAAATGTGTCTTGTCATTTTTTCCCCTTTCTGCTCTGTACTTAGATTTCAGTGGCTGAAGTTGCTGTTCTTCTGAGGGAGAACAACCTAAGCCTAGTTTAAGATCCAGATGGGACTGGCATCCATAACAATTTACTCCCTTTTGGACTCTTGGTTTTTGTTTGTTTGTGATATATAGGATTGAATTCATGCTTTACATGTGCTACAAAAATACTCCACCACCCAGCTATACTTCCAGTCCTCGATTCATCTTAATGTGTTCTAATAAAGTTAATGAGGTAATAATGAGGGTGGGCCAGTGAGGTGGCCAAGCCTGGTGACATGAGTTTGTCCAGGATCCACATGGTGGAAGAAGGGAACAATTCATAACCATTATCCTCTGACTTTCACACAAGCACTGTGGAACACACATAAACAAGTAAATTTAATTAAAAAATTTAAATAATACTGAGAGGTTCTTTTAGAGTTGGTAACCAAGTCCCCTCAGAAGCTTATGGGAGATTTTGAAAATTTCCAACAGTTGCCAGTCTTTACTTTCAGTTTAATCCCGGATGAACCCACCTGCAAAGGAAGCTTGACTTCTGTCTTTTGAATGCCCTCAGGTCATGAGCACTGAGACCTGTCCTGGCCCTTCTGTGTGGTCACATCAGGCATTGCACCTGTTTCCCCACCCCCACCCCCCGCCCCACATCCTTCTGTTTGGCCTTGTCACTACATCTAAAACAAACTTATTAGATGGCAGAATGGGTCGCTTGTAAACTGAACCTTGCTAAAGGGATCACATGAGTAAAGGCTTCTGGTCTCCTAGAGTTAATTAGGAAACTAGCTTCTAGTCACCTGACCTTTATTTCTCAGTGGTCATTAGGCTGAACTGTGAATCCTTAATTAGCATAAACCCCAAATTAGGGGTTCATATATAATTGCCTTTTAGATTTTTATTTATTTATTTATTGAAACAAGAGTATCACTTAAAAAAAAAAAAAAAAAAAAAAAAAAAGAGTATCACTTTGTAACCCTGGCTGGCCTGGAACAGACCAGGCCAGCCTTGAACTCACAGAGCTCCAACTCTTTCTGCTTTGCAGGTACTAGGACTAAAGGAATGCACCACTACAGACTTACTGTATAGCTGAGGCTGTCCTTGACCTCCTGATCCTCTGCCTTTGCCTTCAAAGTGTGGGCATCACAGGTATGCACCACTATTCCTGACTGGTTTGTTGGGCTTTAAGCTTTTTAAAAATACCCTAACTAGTAGAAGATATGGGACAGCTTAGGCTTCATCTTTGGCTCAGTCTGGTGATAAGCGCTATGTCACAGCACTGGGCAATACCTCACAGTGCTGGGCACCATGCCACAGCACTTGGTGCCATTTCACAGCACTCGGTGCCATGTTACTGCTCTCAGCGCCATGTCACAGAGCTCACCGATGAGCTTTATAATGGCTGTTGGAGTGTGGGCACCCTTGATCAAACTTGGAAAGCTTAGATCTGTAGAACTCTTTGATGTCATTTGGGATGGGGTCTAGCATTAAAGCAAGTATCACAGTAATAATATAGCACATTGGGAGGGTCAAGGAAAGCAGAAAAAAACAGCAGTGTAATTTTTGCTGTCAAAAAAAAAAAAACTGATTCTCATGAAGAAAATGAAAGGTTACCATGACTCTGTGGAGCTTTCTTTGTTTTGGACTTATGAGTGTTTTGCCTGAATGTGTGTATGTGTGACGTGTGCCTGACGCATAGAAAGATCAGAAGACTGTGTCCAGGCTATCCAAAGCCTTGGAACCAGAGTTACAGATGATTGTGAGCCACCACGTAGGTGCTGGGATTGAACCCCAGACTCTAACAAGTGCTCTAAACCACCGAACCATCTTTCCAGCCTCCATCTGCTTTTTAAAAATATCTTTGCTGTATTTTACAGTTTGTTCATGACAGAGATCAAAGTATTTTGGGGAATTGTAATCTTCCTGCATAGCTTGTTTTGTTAATAAGAGAGAACACAGGCCCACAGGCCCAGCACTAGGGAGGTGGAGCAGGAAGATCAGGGTTCAAGGCCAGGGGCCAATGAGATGGCTCAGCAGGGAAAAGCACATGCCACACAAGCAGGGTGACCTGAGTTTGACCCCTGGAACCAATGGTGGAAGGAGAGAACTGACTCATGAAGTTGTCCATGGCACGCACAGCTTGCTGTCATGGACACTAATAGCAATACTAAGGGCTCAGTGAGAGGGCTCAGCAGCGAAGACACTTACCTTCAAGCCTGATGGTCTGAATCAGATACCTGGAACCCATTGGTGGAGGGAGATGACAGAATCTTACTGGTTTGTCCCCTAGTTCTCCATCTGCACTACTGCATGCATTCACAAAATAAGCAAATGTAAAAAATAATGTTTTAAAAATTTATAAATGGTAGCTGGAAGGATGACACAGTGGTTAAGAGCACTGGCTGCTCTTCCTTAGGACTCAGGTTCAATCCCTGGCACCCTTGCCATTTGGCTCAGAATTGCCTGTAACTTCAGTTCCAGGAGATCTGATGCTCCCATCTGGCCTCCAACGGAGGCCACACATGTATGAGCCCACACATACAAACATTTTATCCTTTTAAAAGAATAAAATTAGGAGCTAGGGTGGTAGCTTAAGAGGTTAAAAGCTGCTCTTCTAAAGGTCCTGAGTTCAATTCCCAGCAACCACATGGTGGCTCACAACCGTCTATAATGAGATCTGGTGCCCTCTCCTGGTGCATGCAGGTGTACATGCAGGCAGAGCACTACATACATAATGAATAATTCTTTAAAAATATTTTCTAAAAAGAAAATTATTGAAAATGTTTATCTCAGTGGAATAGCATTTACCTAGTATGGGCAAAACCCTGAGTTCAACTCCCAGTACCACACACAGACCCTGAACAAATAAAAATACATCTATAAAAAAAGAAAAATGAATTTAGGGCCAGTCTGGGCTAGGTGAGCCCCCGCCTTGATGGGAGGCAGGGAGAGGCCATTGTGGAGGATGACAAAGTCTTAACTGGACTGAGAAAGATCTCAGAGGAGGAAGGAAAGTCCTGAGCAACCATCTCTGTTTGCCATTGCTTTGTGCCTTATGCTTTTCTCTCCCCAAATCCCAGGGGTAGAAACGATCCATTCTTTGGAAATCTCACCCACGAAAGTGAGCCCTGCAGTAGGCTGCATTATGACACACAGTCCACTGGTGGAGTCCCCTCGCTACTAAGGACCCCATAAGCAGGCAGAGGTAGATGTTTTGCAAATCCATAGGAACCAGAAATAGTTCACAGAGTCAGGCCCATTTGGACATCCATAGGAATATGTTGCAATAGCTACTGTTTCTTCACTAGAAAAACTTCATTAGAAATTTTTGACATCTTTTAAAATTTTATCTGAACAAATTTTCTTCCTAGATGGCCTACCTTAGGTTTGCCCTTGGGCAGCTATTTCTGCTTAGGGCCACAAATCCATTTTAACTGCTGTCAGAGTTCTACAGCGTTGGTTTTGTTACATCTTTCTCTTACATTTTAAAGATGCCAAAAACACTAACCTCTTGTTCGGTTTTCACATTAGTTACATGGGAACCTTCATTTTTAGAAACTTCTCCCATTCAAAAAAAAATTAAAGTAGCCAACTTTTTAAAAAATCTATTTATTTTTATGTACATTGAATGTTCCCCTTGCATGTCTGTGAGAGGGTGCCAGGTCCTCTAGAACTGGAATTACAGACAGTTGTTGAGCTGGCATGTGGGTGCCAGGAATTGAACTTGGGTCCTTTGGAAAAGCAGCCAGTGCTCTTAAGCACTGAGCCTTCTTCTCTGGCCCCAGTAACCTCCTTCTTACAGCAGTTTTCTAGGAATGACAGAGCACTCCTTTGCAAACTTCTGAAGCACCATTTTAAAATGGACACTTCATACAGACACTGCTTTCCCAGCTGTGATTAAATATATATATACACATATGAGACTTTACACTTACCAAAGACTAACTTTTAAATAAAATTTGAAAACTGGTCAGATACAAAGGGAACATCCCTTTTTAATCTCTGTGTTGTGATTAGAATCAGAATAACATGTGCATGCCTGGTGTGTGTGTGCGTGTGTGTGTGTGGTGGGGGTTGCTTAATGGCCTGCTACAAAGTAAACAGCGTCGGTTTTCTTTGCGATCTCAAGGCTACAGATAACCTCTTTTGCCACTAGGTATTGACCATCAAAGTACACGTGACTTGCCACACGACAACAGGTGAGCTTGATGTGGCTCAGCGCCTAGGAACAGAGACGTCAGGCTGCCCGGGAATGTCAGCCTTGTTCCCACCTACCACTTTCTTTTTTCATTGCCCTTTCTCTTCTTCCAGAATAGCTTTGCTATTCGATGGAGCACGTTTCTCTCACTAGTGAGCATTTGTTTCTTGCCCTAATGACTTAAGAATGATTTCCTAATACTTCAGAATGGGAAAAGAAAAACCTCTATTGGTTTGGTCAGTAGAATGTCATTTGATGTCATTAAGGAGTAAAGATAAGATTTCTAAAAATGAAGTAGCTTTGAGGCCTTTTCAAGCCTTGGCATTATCCCTTACTTTCTTTTTCTCTTTGTGGCTTTCAAACACAAAATCTGAGGCAGCTGGTATATACAAGAAAAGTCATGTGAGCTACTGCTGGGTTTCCTGCTCCTCCAGCCATTGTGCAAGAGTTTTCTAGTCTGCAAATGAGGAAGCCTAAATTCCTTCCCTTTGCCTCATTTTATGTAAATCTTCTAACTGTTCTCCCAAGTATTGACTGCATCATATCTATAACTATCTGTAAGGTTCACACACAGGAGAAATAAGGCTTGGGAGTGTGGTGGTGCACGTCTCTAATCCCAGCACTCAGGAGGCAGAGGCAGACGAGTCCTGGAGAGCCAGTGCTATTACAGAAATAAGTCAATGCTGCCCAGTCTTTAGTGACCACCCCGTTGTACTAGTTTAGGGAAATCCTGCCTCACACTGACAATTCAGTGTTCTTCATATTAATGATCATCATGTTTTTCTGCTCCATGTTTGTGTTGGAAATTATTTTCTAACCAGTAAAGACTTGCTGAGGGAACATTCTAGAACCCCAGTATTTAACCTAGCTGTTACGGTAACATTGGAACCCAGGTGTTTTGCTTTCAATTTTCTTTATCCGGGCAGGAAAAAAAAAATCCAGAGGAAGAGTGGACCTAGAGCTCAGTGTTGGGTATGGGTCTCCAGTTTGCTAGATTGTTTGAGGTTTTAGCCGTCGGATTTGACCTCATCTGAGAGATGTCCCATCTTTCCTGTAGTCCATTATACCAGTGTAAAGAGCAGCCAGGACGGCGCAGTGAGACACTGAGGAGAGTTTGGGTCACATGGAGAAATCCCTTTCAGTTCTTGCCATGGCCAGAAGCTCATAGGAAAGCCGTAAGAAAGAGCAGATGTGTATAGAGAAGAAAGCTGGTCAGCTGAAGGACAGGTGCAACGCTCTCATCTTGGATGCCAGCAATGAACTGTATTAACAATGGGGCTCTGTGCCGTTGACAGTTTGAGAGAGGAAACTACATGACTTTGGGACTTGGGAGCTGCCCTGCCTCTATCTAGCCAGCCAAAGTGAATGGGGTCAGTGTTAGCTGCCTTCATCTATGCAGTCACAAAGGTAAAGATGATACTTGGAGCATATTCCCTCATGGGAGGCCTTGGCCTCATGCCTCAGCAACTGTGGCAAGACGTGCTAAATTACACCTTTGTTTGAGCCAGGGTTATGCATCGTCAACACTTTCATGCCAAGTCTAGGTGGTTTCACATCAAGCAGCGAGGACATGGACATGGACCATCCCTCTGTGCAGCTCTGAAATAGAGCCAAGCACTCTGCCTGCCTGTAAGTCCCTGGCCACATTCCCTTCACTCCCGTTTCATAGTTCCCCCAGTACCCTCAATATCCTTTTGGTTTTAGGGGTTTCACTATCAGAGTGAGGAGCACATGATTAGAAGCAGGCAGCCAGAGATTATGATTTGGGGTGATAAAGATATGTCTCGGGCTGAGCACATGACGAAGCAAAAAGATCACTGTAAATTTGAGGCCAGCCTGACCTCACAGTAAACGGCAGGCTGGCTAGGGCTACATAAGGAAAACCTGCTTTTAAAACAAGAGAGAGAAAAAAATGTGCTTTCATTTGTCCCTGAACCTTTGTGAAGATGCCATTGGGAGCCCCTCCTGTTCCCTCCTCACACCATCCTAACCCGTAGCTCTCTTTTCCTGTCACCTGACCCTTTCCAGGATTGGTTCCTGGTTTTCTGCCTAGATGATGAAAAACATGCCGGTCTAGCTGGTGGCCGTCTGGAATAATGGCCTGTTTACTTGTGCTTAGAGGTTAGCTTGCATTCTCTTGCTTGCTGTTAAAGACAGTTGTAGAAATATTACCTATTAACGGGATACTAACAAGTCTTCATGAATAGAAGTGTAAGAACTTACTGTGATTTGGAAGTTGTAAGATTAAAAATGAAAATGCCCTTAAAATGGAAGGATAACTTCCCTGTGTCTATTTCCTCAGTAGAGGGACTGATCATTTGGCCCTGACCCAGTTAAATTCCAGAGTTGAGGGAAAGCCTGGTTTCTGATGTCTTGTCTGATCTCTGACAATGCCAGTGAAGTCCCTTTTCAAGAAAGGATCCTCCAGCCATAGTTTCTGATTTAATGGTTTCTTCTGAGTTTCCGCTTTCCCCCCAGAAAAGAGCCTCTTGCCTCTTCTTGGAGTTATGCCCACCACTAACTTCTTTTCTAGCCCCTGATCCTCTGTGGCCTCTCTAGCAGAGGCCCCTCCTTGAGGGAAAAAGAAGAACGATAACTCAGAAAATATAGTATTTACTAAGCACAAAAGTATGTTTTGTGGTCATTTAATAAGTTTGCATATGACCATAGATAGCCTGAGAAAAGTGAGAAGCCAGAGGGAGTCGATGCAGAATCATACTATCAAGCTTAGAAGTACCGGAGCAGCTTGGAGTCCTCTGAAAAGCAGATAGATCCCAAGGGGCTGGGAATTCACAAGAGCAGATAAGCATCACTCTACAGCATGGGGGTGGAGATAGGGAAAGGCTGGGGCCCTGGAGAGGGACTTGGACAGATTATGACAACAGAGGTGGAAAGACTAAATCTAGATCTGCTGGACCCAAATAGCAACGTTGACATCAAATAGAGCCACCCTGTGCAATTTTGCAGACCAGAAAAATGAGCCCAGATTTTTAGCTGCACAAAAGCCAAGTGAGCATTTTATGTTCTGTTATCCCAGTGACAGCCTGAGTTAACAGTGGCCTTATCCCTTAGCTAAAGTCCTAATGAGATGAGGTAATGTTTGCTCTCATTTACAGGGTCGTGGGAAGCTGCTCAAGAGCCTAGGAAAGAAGGATGAAACACTGAGTCACAGTGACCCCTGCTAGATCAGGATCTAATCCCTACTTTGTAGTCTGCTCTGAGCAAAGATGGCTTTCCTCCTGCTCCTCGTCGTCCTGCTTCTTGCTTTTCCTCTAAGATTTTATTTAAAAATCTGCTTACTCTGGACAGTGGATTTGACACTTAGAGGTAAATCAAGTCTTCGTGATGATGCAGTAGAGACAGTTCACCCTAGAATTCAAGGAGGCAGAAAGACAGGTTAGCCTTTGTTTGGATACTAGTGTTCTACCTCATGGTCTCCTCTGGGCAGCCAGTCAACCCTCTCTGTCTCCCTTATCTCAGCTTACCTGAGCTGAGATGGAAGGCTGAGGCAGACCTAATTTTTTAGCCCCTGGTTCTGTGGCCTTGTCTGTGGCTGATCTAACTTGGCTTGCATTCCCTCTGAGGTCATCATTCATTTATCCTCTCCTGTGAAGTCTGTTTTCTCAAGGGCTGACAGCTACTTGTTCCTTTCATCCTTTGTAAGAACTGAAGGAAGCCTGTCTAGCTTGGTCCTTCTCAGAGGCATCCTGTCTGCCCATGGCATCTGTTTGTTCACCCGTGAAAAGCAATGCATGATGGGTATGATGTTAGTCAGTGCTGGGGCCTCCTGGAGAACAGGCTGGATAAACTTGGCAGGAACTGATTCTTTTCATAGCCTTTGGGGTTTAGATGCTGAGAGCCAGGAGGTGCTTCTGATATGTGTGCTATGAAAATATTTAATGCAAAGTAGGACTGAGATCTTGTTTCTGTGGGCTTTACATACCTATCCTGGCTACCAGGTCTGACATTGACCATCCTTGACCTGCACTGTGTTTTTTCTTATTGTCTCCCCCAGGTCCCCAACCCCCAGAGTTCCTTCACTTTGCAGTGACCAAACCAAACAAATTCAGACTTCCAGATAGGGCGGTGCACAAGAGATCCCTTGGAGCCCCAAAATGGGTCACTCCACTTTTTTCCCTCGCTTGCCCCTATTCCTGTGAGTAGCTGGCATACGTGGGGCCATTGATAGAGCTTAGTTGGCAGTACAGCAGGAGCTGAAGTCAGGAGATGGCCCCAGGGAGGAAACAGAGTCGAGAGGTCTGTGCCGGTATATCGGTGGTGACTTGGCTTCAGTTCCTTGCTGTTGGGTTACTTGTCCCCTCCAGAACAGTCTCCGTATTCTTGGCTACTCCGTTCAGGTCTGTAGAGAGAGAGAACTCTTCTATGAGCCCAAATCAAAATGGATATGAAAGCCTACCTGAAGAATGTACTGAAGGTTGTCCGAGGGAAGCAAATAGCAGGCACCCTTCTATCTAACATGGAGGACGGGGGCATGTGGCAGAGGAGATGTCAGTGACTCATCCAGATGATACACTCTCACCAACACTAATCGGTACTCACTTGACTAATGGTACTTTGAGTTGGTGGCAGAGGACAGCGTACTGTGGGGCTGAGGGGTGGGGAATGTGCCGAGGACAGAATTGGCTGCCTGAGGCTGGGTGGGGCTCCTGGTGACTGGAATCAGATAGCCAGGGAAAACAGAGCAGTTACGTAACTGTGTTTACATGGGCTCAGGTGGCTGTGGAGGCCTTGGCAGTCCTTGACCCAAGGCCATGGCTGAGGTGTGCAGGTAGCCAACTAATAGGGAAGAAGGAAGTCCCTCTTAGACAGGAGGGCCTGCAGGAGGCAGAGCATGACATACTGACCAGGGCAGCACTCTCCGGGACGATGTTACCTGGCTCTAATATGACTCTGGAAGCTGCCCAGCTGTGAGTCAGTCAGGCAGCAATGAGCTGGAGCTAGGGGGAGGGGTCAGGAAACCAGACACCTGGGTCTTAGTCCATTCTCTGAACCTTGCTACATTTTTCTCCTTAATCTTCTTAAAAGAGGAAGAATGTTCCCTAAATATGAGCAGAAAGGGGGAGATTATTCAAGTTTCCTTGGGTTTTACTGCCCTGTAGCCCTAGCCATCTTGCATCCTGTATTTTGTGAGGCCATCCGAATACCTGAGAACATAGTGGGTTCCAACCTGAGAGATGATAAGCCAGCCCAGGCCTGAGTGGCCAGGCAGAGCTGAAGCAGCTAAGCAAAAAAAAAAAAGCCCAGTGCTGCATGGCTGCCCCCCCCCCCCCAACTCCAAGACTGTTTACCGGACTCCCATTTCCATAGAGATGGGACTGGTAGCCAGGCTTCAGCTCCTTGCCCAGGCTGTGCCTTCTCTTGTGAGAAACAGGAAGCTGGGACCTTTCACAGCTCAGCAGCACCGTCTACATTAAATATTTATCTTGGAGTCCAGGTCAGAGCCTTTGAGCTCAAGAAGTTGCTGGTGAGGGGAATGGCCAGGATTCCTGGAGTTGGAAGATCTTCACCTTTGTCATCTTTGGAGAGGAAGGAAGACAATGAAAGTGATGTGGTCCTTCTTAGTTCCAAGGACCCTGACAGGTGGGAAAACTTGAAAGAGGGAAATGGGTAGTACTTTTAATCCCTCTGGGAAAGAAGAGGCCAGTTCCCTGGGTTGAACGGGTCTCAGAACTCCTCTGCTCCTCCAGTATCTTCTTGTAACCACATCATCCCTCTCTCTAAAGAGACACCCTCATAGGGCATCTCATTTAGCCTCCCCCACCCCGTACTGTGAAATACCTGCCTCTGTTAAAAATACCTCACATCTGGGAACTGGAGCCCCGTTAGCAGGTTGGCATCTGTGGAAGCCTGCGAAGCCGCTTCCCCAAGACCCGCACCAATGTGGGTACCGGCACGGTCATCTCTTGAGCTGTTGGCCTAAGTTTCCCAGGGGATCTTGTTTGAGGGCAGCACAAACAGGTCTTTCTCCACAGCTGGGGAAATGTGAAGCAAATAAGCGGTGAGGGTGCCGGGGGTTGTGATGTGCTTGAAAACCACTAAAACTCAGGTTGGCCCAGGCACCAATCACACTGCAGTACCTGTCACCTACCATACCCGACACGTCGCTGAAGTGGATCAGAAACCATTTTTTACTGGCTGGTTTGTTGGGGGACTTGGGTATCCCAGGAGTGAGTCACGGGCTATAGAAGTACTTGAGGGTTTCCATTGTCACAACCTGCCAGCTAGGAGACTGGACGTGGAGGGGAGGAGGGAGGAGGGTCAGAGAGAATAGGGAGCCAGTGGGTGGTGTCCTCGGGATCCGCGCGTCATCACTGCGGGGAACAGCGGAAGAGCAGGATCAAAACAAATTCTGTGAAAGGGAACACCAAGACCCTCCTAACCTCATTCCCCGCCCAAACGACCCCACCCTTATCCTCTGCAGGGCTGCGGCACGTCCAGGGAGCGGCTTGCTTTTTTTAGGCAGATTTCCTCCCTAAATTTTGCACGTGTGTGAGCATCCTCACGTTTGCCAGGACACGTGTGTTTGTTTGCAAACGCCAGACCTCGCGCGCTTAGACAGGCACAAACTCTCTCCCCGAGTGAGCCCTGCCTTCAACCCTGGGCCACCCTGACTGCGGGGTTCCCTTATCTCGGTCCCAGCCTGTCTGCCTCCGGGCCTGTCTCCTGCCTTTCTGAGGCTGCGGGCTGCGTATCTAAAGCTGGCTCCACCCGGGCTCTGGCACTCACGGCTTGTTCGGTTAATCACTCCTGCCCTCTGTCCTGGCTCTGCAAAGCAGTTCGCTTCCCACACCCTGGAAATGTCGCTGGAAACTCTGAGTGGCCCCCGCCAGCTCGCCCGCCCCCTTCCGACGCCAGTTTTGTGGTGGGGGCCGGGGAAGGGATCTGGGAAACCCAGAAGGCTCCCCAGGGACCCTCGGTGGCCCATCCCGGAGCCGCCTCCAGGACGGCCCGGCCCCTTGGGCAATGGGCCACATCGTCCCCGCGGCGCGCCGCCCGGACAGAGGGCACTCGCGGGAGTGACGGAGGGAGTAGCCAGAACCTCCACTCCACCTCAGCACAGCCACAGTCCAAATCCGAGCCCCAAACTCCTCCCGCCGCACTACTCTCAGGGTCTGGCCTCCCAGCTCGCCCCCTGGGTCTCCCTCTTCCTCGTTGGGCGCCCAGTCTGGCCCAGCGTCCTGACCAGTCACGAGGGCAGCGCACTTCTCCCTGCCCTCTTTCCCCGAGGGAGGGCTCGCCGCGGCCGCACCACGCAGGAGCTGGCTGGGATGCTCCTGCCCTCCTGGGCAGGCCCAAGCTCCTCCACCTGCTCGCCTGGGGAAGGTAGGTGCGGGGACTAAAAGGGTGGGAAGGAGGCAAGACACAGCCTGGGGCAGACAGGAGCAAAGACATAGAGCCCCTCCCCCGGGGTCGCAGTCTCTGAGGTTGTGCGGAGTTCCACTGCCTGCCATCCAGAAAAAAAAGTGAATTTCAAAAACCCTGACTCCGTCCACGGGGAGCTGTAGTTGGATGAGACCTGGAAAAGCAGAGGGCAAAGTTCCCACCATCGGGGCCTCACTCTGAGGTGAGGAGTCTACCAAACCTAGAAGCACTTCATTCTTCCAGCCCTTTGGAGAGGGCTGCTTAGGATGCCGGGCTGCCTGAATTCTAGGAACTCACCAGAGGTGTTTGGACACCTTCTGTTCTACGATGGACAGTTAGCAGTTACCCAGGAAGCCTCTGTCTTCCTTAGGTTCTGCCTGGAGACATTAGGGAGAAAGACCAGGACCACCTTGTGGCCCCTACCCCTGTGTATTCTCAGGAGTGCCTTTACATGGAGCTGAGTGGGAGAGGAGGAGACTGAGGTGTCCCGGGGTCAACAGCTCCTGAAACCAGGTGGTGATGGGGGGGGGGGGGTGTTGAATCTTCTTCCTGAAGAAGACGCTTCTGGACTCCCTGGGAGGGTGGGACAGTAATATTAGGGAAGGAAGGCCTGTCAGCTGATCGGTGCAACTGCTGATGCTGAGGGTAACTTGGCCTTGAGCCATCAGCCGAACAGGGAGGGGTAGCCCTGCAGCTGGCGTGCCCAGGCCTCTTCAGGCTTTAATCCTACCTTGCCTCACTTTCCCCTGGAGGAAGCACAGGCAGCCAGAGCTGGGAGGTGTTTGTGTGTTTGGCCTTTGGTAAGAGCTCTAATTGGATCCAGCTGGTGGGCCGCACCTCCCTCAGACTCAACCTCCCCACCCCACAAAGCCGGGGATTGGCTGGCTCCCCAACAGGCTGCTCAGATGTCTGAAGGAATACCCACCAATGCAGACCAGAGAGGTTGCTGTTCCTAGCCTCCTTTGTAACCTTTCCAGTGAGCAGGAACTGAGCAAGAAGACAAGGGCCCACAGGCCTCTGTTGTCCTGTCTTCATCCCCACTCAGTCCCCCACAGCCCTCGTGCCAGTCATAGGACTGTTTGCTGTGCGCACTCCTGCTGACATTCTTTTTAACTCCCATGCTGCTCTCATGATCCACCCTACCCCCACCCCCAGTCAGATTCATAACACTGAATATATTCTACCACAAACAGGACACCTCCTGAGAAATCTAGTGTCCTTGCTAAGAGCTACCACAAACCCCACAGGCATATCTGAGACTGATTAGGCCCAGTCCAAAGGGTGGTGTAAGTTTATTTCACTAGGGCCCCATCTGGCCATGAAGATGAAGAGATGCAGATTCTATACCACAGCTCTCTAGGCACCAAAGCCCCTTTGTGCCCATGAATGATGCACAACCTCTTTTGTCTTCTTGCACCCACCTTTGTGGACCCCTTTGCTCACCTCCATCTCCCAGGTGCCCTGAGATCCTTTCTGCTGACCCCTGAGTGAAGCAGAAGAACCTACTGGCTTGTCAGACATGATGCTGTGAGCCAGGGAGGCTCCTCCCTCCAAAAGCCAAGCTTGCAGGTTCAGGAGTGTTTGTGAGTGTGCAAGACAGCAACTTCCAAAATTTAGTGTCACCCCCCCCCCCGACAGGAAAAGGTCCTCTTGTGTTGTCATCTGCTGCTTTGCTTTCCATCCACCCAGCACTGGCCCTGAGTGTTCTGGAGCTGTGATTGGCACAGGAGGCCAGTGGGCAGCCCACATTCCCTGGATCCCAAAAGGAGTGGTTCCCCTGCCTAGCATTGCTCCTCCATGCTCTCCTTGGCCCTGGGTAGGGATGAGTGAACTGCTGGCTGCTTCCCAGTGGTCAGCAGGGAGGTGGTCTTGATGCTGGCTGCCCTTGTGCCTGAGAGCAAGTGGATGGTACCTGGGGCTTCCCCCAGGAGGCCAGGCTGTGGCTATGCCCAGTTGCCATCCCTTCCCACTCCAGAGCAATGGGCCCTGCTTGCTTGCTGCTCCTGGCCCCTGGGGCAGAATGAAAACAAGGTCCTGTGTTCTCAGGTCCTCTCTGCTAGCTGCCCTAGTTCCCCTGTGCCATCCCTCTAGGAGAGCTGGCTATCCTGACACAAAGAGCCCCAGAGGGGTGGTCAGTGGGCTGCAGGCCTGCTCCTGGCCAACCTCCCTATCTTCCTCCTTGCCTGGCTTCCCCTCCCCCACTCCCACCCAGAGTCCTGCCCCAGGCCTAACAAGCAGTCTATTGTGCCTCCCGGAGTCCTCACTGGCAGCCTGCAGGCCCGTGCCCAGAGCCGCCTGTTTCCTGGGTCCTTGAGCTCCCACCCAGCTGGCCATAATTCCCTCCCACAACTTACCTTCCTCCCCCCACCAGTGGGCTGAGTCAAGAGGTCCCAGGCAGTCCAGCTAAGCAAGGCTTTCCCTTCCTTCCTCCTCCCCTGCAGAATACTCACGAAGGAGCAGCTGCCACATCCTGTGTCTTCCAACTTTGACCCAAGTATGCAAGGCCTCTCCGATGGGCTCAGCCTGGACGATTTCATCCCTAGTCACCTCCGGGCCCATATAGGCCGATCCTCCCGGGGGACAAGGGTGAGTGAACAGCAAGGAAAAAAAGGTACACTGGTGGGCCAGAAGCTGATGAGGACACTGGCAGGCCAGGAGGGGGAGCAGAGGATTGAAGGCATAAGGAGGGAAGACAGTCTGAAGAAAGCTCCAGAGAGCCTCCATGGCTTCCCCCAGGGGGCCAGGCTGTGGCTATGCCCAGTTGCCATCCTTTCCCACTCCAGAGCAACCTCTGGGCCCTGAGCTTGCTGCTCCTGGCCCCTCCCCACAGGTGCCTGTGATCCGGAATGGTGGCTCCAACACCCTTAATTTCCAGTTCCATGACCCTGCGCCCAGGACTGTGTGCAATGGCTATGCCTCACCCAGGCGAGATGGTTCCCAGCATTCAGGTGGGTCTGCTTGGGAAGATCCCCTTATGCAGGGGATGGGGCAAGTTTTCTGTGCCAGATGGAAGGATTGCATCTTTCAAGGCCATGAGAAGGGTTCCCCAGGGAACTATGAATTCAGCTGAGGGTTCTCTGGGTGATCATGCTGATCCTGAGAAAGGAACCTTGAAGAGAGAACAGGCTGACACAGCCCTTCCCTCCCTTTTGACAAGGGAAGGTCATGTTCTGGAAGCCGTGGCCTTAGGGGTCAAGGGAACTGTAACCAGGGCCAGTGATTCAAATAGGAGGGTGAGAAATCTTAGCTTAAGAATGGACAGGAACTGGGCCACTTGGACACTTAGGACTCTCATGCAACCCAAAAGGACATTGGAGGAGAGGGCAGCTTGAGAGCCTGACAGTTGAGTCCTAAGGTCTCTGAGCTCCTGGGGACTTCTCAGTGAAACCCAGCCCTGCCAGAAATGGCATCCTTTACTGAGCATTCCCTGGATTCAGACACTGTGCAAAGGACCTCAGTCATTTAACGACTATTGGATGCTTTCAGCAGGGCAACAATGAACAGGCATTTCACAAGCCTAACCTCATCTAACCCATCCACATCCAGGCAAAGTCAGGGTCGACCATGGGCATCTTCCCAGTGGGGATCCAGTCTCAGAGATGCTCAGAGTAGGTGAGGCTGCATGGAGATCCACACCCTTGACCCTGTGGTCCTGAAGCACTTATGCCATTATACTGAACTACTTAGAAACTAAATACTCTAGGGGGGAGTTGCAGACACAGAATACATGCCTGGGAAATGAGTTTCTGACCTCTCTGAGGGCTGTTGTCTGTCTGTGCTATATATAGTGGCATAGACTGGAAGTCACTGCATCTTTGCCGGAATTACTCTCCTTTTATACAAGCAGAAACCGAGGCACCATGAGGGTGATTAATGGGCCTAAACTTAAAAAGCCAGTAGGGGGCAGAGCTGTGTCCTTCTCGTCCCATTCCCCACCAACCCTGAATCAGCCTTGCCACACCCTAGCTGGTATGTCCCCAGCATTTAATACAAGTAATGATTCCCAGCCCTCCTTCTGCAAACTCTTAGAATCACACTAGGAAAACAGAATGGGGTGTGGATGGACACAGATTGCCTCGAACTCCTCTTAAAATTAAGAAATAAACAAGGAGGCGCCTCCGGGGATGGTGGAGTCTGCATCGCCCAGCCAAACAAATAAGGGGAGGTGGAGGAAGGGGTGTTGAAACTTTGAACTCACAGGGATCAATGTTCTGAGAAGACAAACAAGGACATATGTGGGATATGTCTTTCAGCTGCCTTTCAGCTAATGTTCTTACACACTTCTCATAGACTCAGCATGGTATCAGACCTGGCCAGGCCCTGGGAGCCGACCCTCTGCGAGACCGAAGCAGCCTGCCTCCCAGCATGCCCAGAACTGGTCAGCCACATGGACCAAGGACAGCAAGCGACGGGACAAGCGCTGGGTGAAGTACGAGGGAATCGGGCCTGTGGATGAGAGCGGCATGCCCATTGCTCCCCGATCTGTGAGTCCAGGGCTGGGGGTCACAGACAGAGGGGGCCCAGAGAGCCTCCCAAATTCTGTTTGTGTGAGTGTAATCGGGGTGAGTGTAACCTTGTGTGTCGGAGTCACATACATGTTACACGGTACAGATCTCAAAAGATGGAAAGTCACTGCATCTTTGCCGGAATTACTCTCCTTTTATACAAGCAGAAACCGAGGCACCATGAGGGTGATTAATGAGCCTAAACTTAAATAGCCAGTAGGGGGCAGAGCTGGGTCCTTCCCATCCCATTCCCCACCAACCCTTTGCAGCCCTGAATCAGCCTTGCCACACCCTAGCAGGGAGGCCTCTTAGTTTTATATCCCCGAAGGCCTAGCCACACAAAATAGTTGTCTGTTTATCGGCTGAGTGAGTGAGTCCTGAGCGAGATTGCCATGGCAGGCAGGGGAGGATCCTGTATCCCACCCAGGACTACTGGGGCCCCACCCTTCCATTGCCTTCATATCTTGGGCCAGCCATATTTACTTACAGTCACATACCCTTCCTGCTTTGTAAGGTCCACACGTGGTGGGTTTTGTGAAATGCCCTCTCTCTCTACAGCATTGTTTTTGTTTCCTCGTGTAGCGAAATGCTCGTTATGGAAGCAGCAGGAAAACTGAAGGAGACAGCTCAGTCACTAAAGTGCTTGGCATGCAAGCATGAGGATCTGAGTTCTGGTCCCTGGACCTTACATCAAAAAGAAGAAGTTGGGCATGGTAGCACATGCTTATAATCCCAGCACATAGGAGGCGGAGGCAGAGGCAGGCAAATCTCTGAGTTTGAGTCCAGCCAGGGCTACACAGAAAAACCCTTCTCAAAAAACAAAAGAGAACAAAATAAACAAGTGGACAGTGCCTGAGGGATAATACCTGAGCTTGACCTCTGACCTCCATCTGCACATGCGTGCCCAGACACATACAACCACACCGACACCCATACAAACATATACTCATGTGCATGTGCCGTGCGTAGGCATGCACACACGCAGATTTGTAGAAACATGAGGAAGGAACGTAAATCATTCTCCACTTCACAGGGGAGGGTCATCATTCTGTACACTGAAGGGCGTTCTTCCAGCTGTCTTAATTCATGCACAACATGCCACATGAAGCTGCCACAAAAGGAGCTGGGAGAAGGCTCAGTGGGTAAAACGCTTAATTTCAAATTCGGTATTAAAGCTAGGGGCTACAATACGTGCCCGAAATCCCAAAGCTGCTGGTAGGCGTGACAGGCTGATCCCAGTGGCTTCCTGGCTAGCCTGTCTAGAGAAAACACTGAGCTCCAGGTTCAGTGGGAGAGCCTGTCTCAAAACCAATTGTCTTTTTTGAGGAGTGGTGATGCCCTTAATCCCAGCACTATGGAGGCAGGGGCAGGGACAGGAGGATCTTTGTGAGTTCAAGGCCAGCCCCGTCTACCTAGTGAGTTCTAGGCCAGCCAAAGGCTACCCAGTGAGACATGGTTTCAGAAATAAAATAAAATAAAAATAAGGGGCTGAAGAGACGGCTCTGTGATTAAGAGAACTTTTCCTTGAAGAGGATCAGGCTTGGTCTCCAGTATCCATATGGCAGCTCACAACTGTTCATAACTCTGGTTCCAGGGAATGCAACCCTCTCTTCTGACCTCTGAGATGCAAGCAAAACACTCAGAAACATAAAAAAAATCTTTAAAAAATGAATAAAAATAAATTAGGTAGCGGGCTGGTGAAATGGTTCCAGTGGATAAAGGATATTGCCACATTCCTGATGACCTGAGTCCCCAGAACCCACAGGATATCAGGGGAGAACCTCTTCCTATAAATCATCTTCTGGCCTCTACATATGTGTGGACCATGTACACATCCCACCAATAACAAAGGAAAGAAAAATTTTTAAAAAACCACATGGTGGAAAGTAATAGTCCTCTGGCCTCCACAGGTACATGCGCAGAGGTTTACACATGTACCTGTACACACTCAGGCATACACACACACACACACCACCACCACCACCACCACCACCACCACCACCACCACCACCACCAGAGACATTCCCCAGACCTCAGCCATCTACAGGGATTTAAAGGGGCCCGGAGAAAGGTCTCATTAAGGAAGGCTCTTGTGCCTTGTCATTGGGAAGGATGGGTGGCAGGGAGGCCTGAGAAGGGTGGGTATGCAAGGAGACCTAATTTGAACTTTCTGATCTCAGAGTGTTGACAGCCCCAGAGACTGGTATCGGAGAATGTTCCAGCAAATTCACCGAAAAATACCAGGTTAGATACCCTCCCAGGGCCCGATAGACTCCCAGCAACCTGGAATGTGTGGGAGGGATAGAAATGGGGATGTCTTTGCTTATAAGATTCTTCTGGCTCCTCTCTCCAAGCTCTAAGGTGAGCAGTCCCGAAAACAGGATGAAAAAAAAAAAAAATCGCTGCCTGTAAACCCAGCCTTTAGGGGGCAGAGGCAGGGATCACAGAATTGAAGCCAGCCTAGGCTACAAAGTGAAATTGTATCTCAAAATCTAAAAAAAAAAGGGGGTAAAAGAAGAAGAGAAGGAGGGAGGGAGAGAGAGAGAGAGAGAGAGAGAGAGAGAGACGGAGGGAGTTTCTCTTTTCCACTAATGTTTGAGGCCAACAGTGGCCTCCAGAGCATCACTGGGTGGATAGTGAAGTTTCCCAGTGTCCTCTGGGGCCTTCCTGGGATCCCTCTGGACTTCTGGTTAGGCCACAGTGCCACCCATGGAAACATGGTATCTTCTAAAAGCCCCAATGCAGCCAACCCTGGCCCAGTGCAGCCATCCCTGAGCCAAACATGAGCTCCCTACAGGCCCTTTGTGCACTGAGTCAGTCCTTGACTGTCTGAGGACCTACTGTGTGCTGAGCACTGTTCTAGGAAGATGAATAAGAAGAAGATGGTGGAAAGGGCTAGAATAAAATCAGAGAAGGCTGGGGAGTGACCAGTGCAGTTAGGCTGAGACCTCACCCAGAAGAGGCAGGGAAGGACCCCGGGGAAGAGGCCTTGTCTAGAAAGGGTAGACATGTGCCAGCAGAGGGCGCTCCAAAGACCCACGGGGTGAAGCACACCTGGCCCTTTCAGGACCAGCCAGGACTGGAGTGAGAAGGGAATTATAGAGTCAGGTCTCATGAGACTTTGAGGGTCCCTAAGAGGACTTTGGCTTTTATTAGACAAGAAACGTGGAACTCCTGGGCAATTCTGAAGAATTCTGAGCCCAGTTCTAACAAGGGCTGGAAGGATCTCCCACACTGCCAGACACAGAAGAGAGGGTAGAAACAGGGACACCCATTCAGCTGGCGGTAGGGAGGTCACCATGGAAGCCCTTGCTCTTATCCAGTCTCCACTAGTCCAGGGCAGTGGGCAGTGGGATGGGATGGGATAGGGATTCCAGGGACATTTCAAACACAGTCATTGATACTTGCTGATGATTGGATATGGCGTGAAACATCAAGAGCGAATTTAATCCTGAGCAAGTTGAAGGATGAAGCTGCTGTTCTGCTCTTATTTTTCAGACAGGGTCTCCTGTATTCCAGGCTGGCCTTGACCTCACCATGTAGCTGAGGCTGACGTAAAGCTCCCAGTCTCCTTGCCTCAGGGGTCACAGGAGTGTGCCTGGCTTTGGCACTGCTTAGAGACAGAGAAGACTGCAGAGGGAGCAGGGTTAAGAGGCATTTAGAGGCTGGCATGGTGGCACCCACCTTTAGTTCCAGCACTGGGGAGACAGAGGCAGGAAAATCCTATGAGTTCAAGGCCAGCCTGGTCTACACACAGTGAGTTCCAGGACAGCCAAGGGATAGATAATGAGTCCTTGTCTCAAAACAACAATAAAGAGGCTTTTGGTTTTCCAGGCATGTCACACCCAAGTGGAGTAGGCAGTGGAATGTCCATGGCTAGTTCAGGGGCAAGGTCTAAAGCTGCACGTGGAAATAGCTGGGACTCTCAAAAAAGATGGTGATTTCCAGTCCTCAGCAATGGGTTGGCTATACATTCGAATTGTGGGAATACATAACACCATCCTCATCCTTCAGTATCCAAAGGAGATTGGTTCCCTGCAAGAACAAGTTCCTTTTATAAAGTGCCATATGCAAAGCTATGGGCATAGGACCCCATGATGGTTCACTAGGAAGCAGAGGCGAGAAACCTGCCATGAGTTCTAGGCCAACCTAGGCTACGGTGTAAGGTCCTACCTCAAAGAAAAACTGAAAAACGGTTTGGCATGATGACTCAGTGGGTAAAGGCTCCCAGGCCTGAAAATCTTCAAAACCCACATCAGGAGAGAACTGATGTTTGCAAGTTGCCCTCTGACCCTTACACACATGCTGTGGCATGCACATCATGTCCACACACATGCACACACACACATACACACACACACACACACACACACACACACACACACACACACAAACTGAAATGGCTGGAGAGACTGCTCTTGGGCTGGAGAGATGGCTCAGTGGTTAAGAGCACTGGCTGCTCTTCCAGAGGTCCTGAGTTCAATTCCCAGCAACCACATGGTGGCTCACAACCATCTATAATGAGATCTGGTGCCCTCTTCTGGCATGTAGGCAGAACACTGTATATGTAATTAATAAAAATAAAAAGCCTTTTCTAAAAAAAAAAAAAAACAAAAACAAAAAAAAAAAACAAAACAAAAAAAAAAAAAAACAAGAAGAGGCTGCTCTTTTAGAAGGCCCAGGTTCATGAACCTACATGGCAGCTCATGACCATTTGTACCACCAGTTCTAGGCGATCTGGCACCTTCTTTTGTCCTCCATGTGGGACGCACGTGGGTCACAGACATACATATAAAATAAACTTAAAAGGACAATAACTTTAGGTATAAGTAGTCCTACCTATATCCTCTCGGAGACCTGATATTGCCTCTAGATTACTTATATATGTTTTTTATTTTTGCTTTTTGAGACAGAGTTGCTATGTGTAGCCATGACTGTCCCAGAACTTGCTCTGTAGACCAGGCTGGCCTCAAACTCACAGAGATCTGCCTGCCTCTACCCCCTGAGTGCTGGGGATTAGAGGCGTGTGCTACCACCGCCCAACAATACTTATATTTAATATAAAGTAAATGCTGTATTAGTAGCAATACGTACTGTGTTGTTTAGGGAACAATGAGAAGTAATAGCTTGTGTACATGTGCAGCACAGATGTGATTTACATTTTCAAACTGGGCCTGGTTGAATCCATGGGTTTCGATCCTGTGGAAACAAGGCTGAATGTATTTGAAAAGCCAGGATCACACAAGAAGATGGAGACACAGTCTTTGGGACTGAGCCCCCTAGGCATGTGGCTTCTGAGGAACCCCACTGACAAGAGGAAAGCAGCCTAGAGACTGAAGATGTTTCTAGAGAGAGAGAGGGAGAGCCAAATAGCCTCCCTGCAGCCAGATGAGAGAAAGGAGTTTCAGAAGAAAGAGCTGTGACAAAGGCTGTCATGGAGTCGAGCTGACCATAAGGCCATGGAGGTCCTGAGTCCTTGGTCAGAGTGAGGGCTAGAGATGTGCTGGTGTGGTTGCTGTGAGGAAAAGCAGACGGCCCAGGAGCAGAGGGAGGTGAAGGCAGGCTCCTAAGAAAGGTGTTTGGGTTTTACAGTCTCCTCCTAGGTGCTTCCCTCACCCAAACCTCTGAAAGTCCTGAACTCTGCAAAGTGTGGTTCTGAGCAAAGTGAGATGTAAAGCATTTTAGAAGGAGGTGTACTTGGAGAAGGGAAATATGAGAGAGAAAGAGAGAGAGAGAGGAGAGAAAGCACAGCTTCCCCAAGCTGGCATGGCAAGGACAGGCCAGCTTGTCAGGAGAAGGGTATGTGTGGGAATAATCAGGAGAGCCTGAAGGGTGTGGTCCCCACTCTTTGGCTCTCCCAGGCCTAAAGTCTGCCAGAGCCAGGCATTTCAAGCCCTCCCAAGGGCTGCCCTCCTAATTCCTTCCCTCCCTCAGGACATTCTTCAGGCCCTGACTCAGCCCTCAGCCCCTGCTCTAGGCAGAAGGGAGGCTGGGAGCCGCTAGGCAAGGCTCCTGGAGCACCCTGTCCTCACTCTGTGTTCCATTGGTGACCTGGTCCTTTCTGTTCCCCAGACCTGCAGTCAGACTGGACATTGGAAGACTCACCCAAAGGTGAGGGGTGTGGGTTCACTGGTCTGAGTCTGGAGACTTGCTGCATGAGCTTGGGGGCTTTCTGGGTGGTGTGATTCCACACAGAGGATTTTTTTTTTAACATTATTTATTTATTTATTTCAATTTATTCACTTTGTATCCCCGCTGTAGACCCCTCCCTCGTCTCCTCCTAATCCTACCCATCCTCCCTCTTCTCCTCCTATGCCCTTTCCCTAATCCCCAGATAGGGGAGGACCTCCTCCCCTTTTATCTGACCCTATCCTATCAGGTCACGTTAAGGCTGGCTACATGGCAAGGGGAGCAGGGGCTGTCTCTGACATGAACTCAGTGGCTGGCTCTTTGATCACCTCCCCCTGTGGGGTGTAGCCTTGCCAGGCCACAGAGGGAGATAATGCGCACAAGAGGATTTTAAGGGCCACCTCTGGTAACACTGAATCCCCTGGTAGAAGATGTTTAAGACTACCTTCTACGTCCAGAGAGTACTTGCTTTGCTATCTGCTGACCAGATTTCCCTGGGCCTCTCTTTTCTTATCTGTGAAGTGCAGATACCACCTGTTCTGATGAGTTTGTATCATAAAGCTGTTGGTATAAAGCCCATGTACTAGCAGGGAGCCCATTTCTGTCTCTGTGAGTCTGTCATCCAAGTGGTAGAAGGGAGGTGAGTACCACAGCCTTAAAGAACTCTGCCAACTCTAGTCCTCATCTATTTTCTTTCACCTCCAGTGGTTTCCTTGGGAGCCTCTTCTGCAGAACCCAGGCATCCAGGGCCCCAGCAAAAACCTGCTTCCAGGCCTGGTACCACTGTGACTTCTAGCCGGTGAGCTGTGGGCGTGGCAATGTAAAGACTAGTGTCCCCCTTGTGGCCAAAGATGGTACAACCTGAGAGCAGACAGGAGAGCTTCTATGCCTCCACTGGGTTCTAGAGGGGCTCAGAGGAGCTCCTCCATCACTGCAGATATTCCAACTCACAAGGGTCAGAGGTAGCCAGGTACAGACCCACTCCTGTTGTTCATCAGAGACCATGAGTGATGTGTGTCCAGGGCCCTGGGGGTGGAGGCTGCTAGCGGCGGCTTGGACACGTGGCCCTTCTACTTTAAACACTGAGAGAAAACCTATAGCATGGATGAACCCAGCCAGGTCTCTGCCAGATTGTGGCTTAGATGTGCCCTGCAGAGAGGGAAAGGAAGAACTTCTTCCCCTGGCCTGGGAGGTGCTGGGCTCCACCTCGGGGACCTGGAACTCTGCTCAATGGTTAAGTACACCAGCTGCGTGTGCCCCTACGGGTTAGAATTCAGACCGCTGAGCTGTGGCCTTTGTCATCACTGAGGTAGTGACAAAAAGTCCAGATTGAACCCAGAGTTGAGGTCCAGGGCGGTGTGCTGTCACTAGTTATTCGACATTGAGCTTCAGTGTCAGTATCGCCATCTGCTAAGTGGGGATGATGGGGGTGGGGGGGGGGTGAGATTTCTAGGTCTGGGTGAGCAAGTGTATGCATCTTGTGTTGTGATTAGCATATAGCAAGTCTGCAAACATGCTAACACACTGGTTGCCATAGGACGAGAAGGAAGTTCTACTGCAAACCAGCACATTCCATTCTCATGATCACCTTTTTATTGTCAAGATGAGAACAGAGTCATAATTATAGGCAACGAATCCTCACCCTGTGGTCAGACATGCCATCATCTGATAAGCTCTATTCAGTTATCTCCTGGGTAATTTTCAGACTAAAACCAGAGGCTGGGATGTGAAAGCTATCCGGGAAAGAAACCTTACAGGAAAACTAAGGTGGACAGGCACCACAGTGACTGAAGCTGGCCACATAGGTTTTATCACTGGATCCAAGCCCCATGGACCTGAGGCTCAAGGACCCAAAATAATGTGCCTGGTTCTCCTGGACAGAGATGCCCCCAGGTTTTCATTGGAACTGTACGTAGTCTTGCATCCTGGGCCGTGGTTTAAAAGACCACTTGGCTATAGCGGCCTGAAAGCCAACTGCACTGGTACACACCACACCAAACACAAACGCAGGATACTTTTGTTCAAGGCACAAGAGAGATCCTGGCCACCCATGGGGCGATGTTTGAATAGGCCTTCTGCTGGACGCCTAGCAATGTTTCCTGCGAGTCACCCATTTTACCAGCGTTGAGCCCAGGGTTCAATATAGCTTGCCATAGTTACTAGGTCACGTAGATACTAGGGGCTGAGGCTGGATTTAAAGCAGAACTCACACACTGTCTGTCCTACAATACTACTTCCACAGTAAGGGGGCAGGTAGACCCCCTCTGTAGGAATGGGGACAGTGGTAGAGGAAGGGGTACAGCCCCTTCCCCTTCTCCTTTGATTACCTTCTCACCTATGCCTCGATTTTCTTTTCTTTTTTTTCCGGTTTCTCCAGACAGGGTTTCTCTGTGTAGCCTTAGCTGTCCTGAACTTGCTTTGTAGACAGGCTGGCCTTGAATTTACAATTCTCTGCCTCTGCCTCCCTGACTGCTGGGATCAAAGGTGTGCGCAACCGCATTGAGCTGCCTCAGTTTTCTAGAAGGGAGCTGACGTGGCATTTTCTCTTTCTTCAGAAGAAACTGGAACCACTCTGAAGAAACATCTAGAAACACCTTTAACTATAATCTTGGGTCAACTTCTTCGGGGTTCCACCCCTCAAATCAGGTAGACCATTCTGCTCCTCAATACCATCCCTAGCTGCATGTTCTCGGGCCACACTTACCTGCCAACACAGAGCAGATAATTCCCTGGTTTCAGCTTGCATGCTTAAGAAGGGGCTGGTGGGCATATCAGGAGGGCCTGCCTTTGGACTTGGATCCAACCATAGTGTCCCCCACTCAAGCTGATGGCCACCCACATCCATGCAGGTACCCAGACATCGAGAGAAAGTAGAGAGTGTCTGGACAGATGACTCCTGGAACCAGTTTCTGCAAGAACTAGAATCTGGGTATAAGGTGAAATTATTAGCCGAGTCCTCTAGGACAGGACACACCCTCAGCTGGAGCCTGTTTCAAGTGAGTTCATCTTCTTTGACATAACTTTCCTATCCTGCAGCCCAAGAAACCATTGGTGGATGACCCTGCCGAGAAGCCTAACCAGCCCATTGAGGTGAGTGCTGCCGGTTGGAATGGGGGAAAGACTCCAGTGTCAGCAGGAAGCAAGGATGTCTCTGGGAAATGTGGTCTTAGTAGCCATGGATAAAGGCCATAGATGCAAGGTTCCAACTGTCCCCAGTCCCATACATTCATCTCCATTCAGCCACCAAGGACAGTGCCTGAACACAGTAGATGATTAGTAAACACACACATGTGGATGGGCAGGAGGATTGTATACTTGAGTGTGTGTGTGTGTGTGTGTGTGTGTGTGTGTGTGTGTGTGTGTGTG